ACAGGCTGGGATGAGGGACCCCGCCCCCCCCCCCGCCTAGTGTATGAATTTTGTGCATCAGGCCTCTAGCATATAGATGCATGAAACTTTCTTGATCCACTCAGTTGTTGATGGACTGATCTTCATGCTTTCTTTTTTCTCTAACTTAGTTCTATTTATTATATTCATTACTTATTTGATATCATATTACTTGTTTGCTTCTTGTTTCCCTCCATCACTAGAATGTAAACTCCATGAAACCAGGGACTTGTTCTGCCTTATTTACTGCTATATACCTACTGCATAGAACATAGTTAGTGCTCAGAAATATTTTTTAGGTAAAAATTCTCTTCCTAGAGGACCAGTACAATAAGATGGTGGATGGATAACATGGATTGGTCAAGAGAGTATTTATCTGTGATCTTGTCTTGATTAGTGTCTGCTCTGGGTTATCTAAGTGTATTCTGTTTCCAAATACATTCACTTTCCAGATTGGGGGTTGAAAATTAAAGTCTTCAGGGGCTATGCAAATATTTAAACTTTTAAAAAATGAGGGCTGGATATTAGAAATAACAAAACACAGGTCACAGAATATATTCATTGCTTTAAAGAGGCAGTCACTACTCTTTTCTAGAAGATCATTGCCATGCTGGCTGGAATGTGAACACAGGGATATGAGAACTTCAGCGTTTTCAAGTGAAGTGAAAGACTGAATATAAAATCATTTTATTTTCTAAATATTTTTCTCTACCTTTCTGAAACATTATATAAATCAAAAACTTTTTTACTCACAGTATATCAGTTTTTACTCTGTTCTAGGTAGCAGTTAAATTTTTTTCACAGTGCTTTGTAGAATGATAAAGTTCATATTCCCTTACTCCATTCAACTTAGGGGCTCACTACAATATGGAGGAGATCCAGAAAACAAACAAACAAACAAACAAAACCACTATGGCTATGCACAGACATTTTTTAGAAAATATTTGTGTTGATTTCAGAGATAAAGGGAGAGGGGGAGAGAGATAGAAACATAGATGATAAGAGAGAATCATTGATCAGCTATCTCCTGCATGCCCCACACCGGATGTGGAACCCACAACCTAAGCATGTGCCCTGACCGGGAATAGAACTATGACCTTCTGGATCATAGGTTGATGCTCAACCACTGGGCCATGCCAGCTGGCCTCCAACATTTTAAATCAGACAAAGATCTGGCTGGTCTTGTAAAACTTCAGATATTTCCTTTGGGGATGAATACAGAGTTTCTCACATCATAGCCTAGCCTCAGTAGCTGTAGTTTTTCCACCTAGAATATGAATATGGCTTGTTTCACAGAGCAATAACTTGCTGATGAGCTATGAGTCAAATATAAAAATACAAGTGATCACTATGAAGAAGAAGCATTTGATGAATCTTTCATAAACTGAAAAGGCCTTTCCTAAAATAAAAAACTCATGTCTAATATATCCAGTTAACAAGGTCAGGCTTTCCCCAAGCAAGAGGTTTTACCTATGCATCTTCTACCTATACTACCACTTCATTACTCTCTGATAAACTATTTGACAATAGGTAGAACTAACATTTCAGTAAGATGGTCATAATATTTTTTGGGGGGGATTGAACAAAGACTCTAAACTGATGCTAAAGAAATTATGATAATTATTCCTTCTCTGTGCATACTCTCTTTCCAAAAAGTTAAGCATATCACTGAACAGAGAATATTTTTCATCCTCTCTTTAGCCTCTCTCTCTCTCTCTTCATTCCCAGTGCTACTGTTCCAGTTTGAAATCCCAACCTATCTAAGAAACCCTCAGGTGGAATATCCTAACCTGATTCCCAATTTATGAGCAAGCTCAAAATATTTCTAACCTTCTCTCTCTCCAGTCCCTTGGCTTCATCTTCTATTTGTCTCAGTCTATAATGGCTGATCTTTATGATCAAATTTAAAAAAAGTAGTTGAATTTAAACTAAGAAGATTAAAAAGAACTACAATTGTACTTTATGTGTCTAGAAAGAGTTACAATCCCATAAATATTTGCTTTTATGGCTATAGTTATTTTTGTGAAGTGTGTGCAAGACACAGTGCAAATAAAATGGCTTTAACTTTCTCAGTCAGGAAATATCCCTAGAAGTATAGACCTTTCTGAGATGGAAAATGGAAGTTGAAAACAGAAGACAAAATAAAAGCCAGATGTCATCTGGGTGATGGCACTTCTGCCCTCTGATTATAGGATACATGCTTTCTTTTTAATGTGACTGCCTGGACTGAATCAAAGAATACTGGTTGAGTCTCAGGAACTAGATCCACAGTTTTCAACATAAACAGCCATCATTAGGTAATATATTTAAAAAACATTTTTGTGCCCTAACCGGTTTGGCTCAATGGATAGAGCGTCGGCCTGCGGACTCAAAGGTACCAGGTTCGATTCTGATCAAGGGCATATACCTTGGTTGTGGGCACATACACAGTGGGGAGTGTTCAGGAGGCAGCTGATCGATCTTTCTCTCTCATCAATGTTTCTAGCTCTCTATCCCTCTCCCTTCCTCTCTGTAAAAAATCAATAAAATACATTTTTTAAAGAAAGAATGCATAATATATCCCTAGCTGGTTTTGCTCAGTAGATAAAACATCGCCCTGTGGACTAAAGGGTCCCAGGTTGGATTCCCGTTAAGGGCATATTCCCTGGTTGTGTCCTTGATTCCCAGTATGGCTTGTGCCAGAGGCAGCCAACCAGTGATTCTCACTCATCATTGACGTTTCTACCTCTCTCTCCCTTTCCCTTCCTCTTTGAAATCAATACAAACATATTTTAAAAATGCATAATATATTTACTGTAAGTCATGTGTTCTCAAGAAACATTAACAATATGGAGGAACAGGGAAAAGAATTTCAATGTCACTTTCTAGGATGGAGCTTGTAAAGCTGTAGTGTAAGCCAAAAAGACTTGAATTTGAACTTAGCATATCTGGCTCAAGTCCCATCTTGGCCACTTCTTAAGTGTATAATTTGGGTAAGTGAATTAAACTACTGGGTTTCAGATTCACCTATAAATTTGGACCAATACTTCTTACCCTCAAGGTTTACTTAAAGAATACAGTAGTTGAAAAAATTTTAAATCTATAATACACATTAATTATATTGTATACTGTATATTTTTTTCTTCTGAATCTTAATCTAAATGGTTATATTGAGCATGACTAATTTCTCTCTTTTTAAAAATTCTTTAAAGTATTACATATGTCTCCCTTTTTCCCCATTGACCCCTCCCTGGTCATCCCCCCACAACACACACACACACATACACATATGCTCTCACTCCCCTACTCTCTGTGTCCATGGGTTATGCTTATATGCATGCATACACCTCTTTTGGTTTCTCTCTCTCTCTCTCTCTCTCTCTCTCTCTCTCTCACACACACACACACACACACACACACACACACACTCGCCTTCTGTCTGAGGTTGGATGGTCTGTTTGATGCTTCTAATTGCTCTTAAATAATAAGGCTTTATAGAAACAAGCGACAGTCCCAGGGAAGGTTGATGATATAGTTGTCAAGAAACCTTAAAAAGTGGCAGTCAGTCATGGTAATAAGTTTTATTTTAAAAGTTCCCCAGAATTGATCCATCCAGGGAGGCTGATTGATGTCAACCAAACTCATAAGCAACTAATGTATAAACTAGAATGCCACTCCCTTTTCTAGTTTATAGCTATATGGTAAGCTGAATTAGTAATAAAAGTGTCACTTAGTAATTATGCAATTAGATTAAGGGGAGATTAGGTAACTTTTAGTTGATTTTATCTATATTATATTGAGACCAATGAATGTCCCTGTCTCACAGTGGAAAATATATATATATAGCCTGGTGTCTTTCAGATTCAGTATTTCTAGTCTGGACATTGCTGAATTCACATTCTGAATTTTCCTCTGACTTCCCATTTCTCTTAATTTCATGATACTTTACCCTCTTTGTATGATATACCCTAGATTTCTTAATATCATGAATTAAGTTATAGGTTAGTCATTTTCCCTGAGCCTGGTGTACATTATGTGTCCTTATGTTACAGGTTGGTTTAATTGTTGGAACCCCAAGAGGTGCAGGGGTGCCCCACTGGAGCAGCCTGAGGCTGCTATCAGGTAGCCTGGTGTTAGCTGAATAGGAATGGTTATTCACCTGGATATTTCATTATCATTCTCTTTTAGCCTCTCAGGGCATATTATATCACATATATATTATAGCCACTTATTCAAATAAGTAGGGGAAATGGATAAGCTAATTCCCCTGCTTACCTTCTATTGAATTATGTTCTCATAGGCTTAAATTAAACAGTTAAATCCTGCAAGCTTGTTAGATTTTATTTGATTCTGTGAATAATTTTATGATGCTGTTCTATAGGAGAATGGGGTTTGTGGCCTAAAAAGTACTAGGTTTTAATCTTTCTAAGCCAGTAATAGAATTTAACAGAAAAGACAAAATCTTGGTCCTAGACCCAGAAAAAAGGCAGCTTTAATCATTTCCTGAAACACAACTAAATCAACAGTATATATGTGAGATTCACCCATGTTCAAAGCAAATTGGGAGTGACTATTCCTTTGTATATAGACTTATCACTTTCTTTTTTAAATTATTTATTGCTTAAAGTATTACAAAGGCTATTACATATGTCTCCTTTTTTCCCCCGCCCTTGACTATCCCCTGGACTCCCCTACCCCTCAGTGTCTTATGTCCATTGGTTATGCTTATATGCATGCATACCAGTCCTTCGGTTGATCTCTTACCCCTCCCCCCCTCACTTTCAAGAGTAAACTTACTCCAATCTTTAGAGGAGAGTAAATTTTACAAATATTTGATTTACACAAATGTAATAAAAACAAAGCTACTTACTGCATTAAACAAGAGTCTTCTGGAAAGAGAAAGAGAATGTGTTGTATACTAGTATTTTACAGACCAGATTTATGACATGATCTCAAGCATTACTTATTTCATTACCTTTTCCTGTTTATTATGTTTCTTCCAGATTTAATCTACAAAATTGAGCTTGCAGGAGGTGTAGGAGCAATCCTCCTTCTCTTTGTACTGTTCGTGATCATCTACAAATGCTACAATATTGAACTGATGCTCTTCTACAGACAGCATTTTGGAGATGATGAAACTACTGATGGTAAGCTGTTTCCTATTGTTCAAGTTCAGTTAAAAGGCCTGAAGATGTGCTTAACTAGTGTTGCTCAGTGGTTGAGCACAGACCCATGCACCAGGAGATCACTGATTCCATTCCAGGTCAGGGCCCACGCCCGGGTTGCAGGCTCAATCCCCAGCAAGGGGCATGCAGGAGGCAGCCTATGGATGGTGATGCATCAGTTCTATCTCTCCTTCCATCTCCCTTCTTCTCTCTCTAAAACAAACAAACAAACAAAAAAAGAAACAAAAAACAAACAAAAAGAAACTCAACAAAAACATATTTTTTTTTAAAAAAAAGGGCATGAATCTGTGATTATGTAAGAGAATATCCCTATTCTTAGGAAATGCATGAAGAAACATTTACAATTAAAGGATTATTACTAATGCAACCTATTCACAAATAGTTCAGGAAAATTTTACTTATCTATCAAGAAAGAGAGCAAAGGGTAGAAAATATTAACAGTAGATGAATCTGGGTAAAGGATATATGGGTGTTCTTTGAAATAGTTTTATTTTTGTAATGTTCCTGTACATTTTAAATTATTTCCAATTAAACAGTTTAACAAGGAGACATTAGTTGGTCAGTATAAAAAACAATTGCTGTCAAAGCTCTTTACCTTGCTAAGAAACAAATTAAAAATCAATTCCATCCCTAGCTGGTTTGGCTAAGTGGATATATCATCAGCCTGCAGACTAAAGGGTCTCGTGTTCAATTCTGGTCAAGGGAAGATACCTCTCAGGGCGTGTACCAGAGGCAACCAATCAATGAGTCTCTCTCTCACATCGATGTTTCTCACTGTCTCTCCCCATCCCTTCCACTCTATAATAAATCAATTTCATTTTCCCATAGGAAATTCAAATTTAGATATAGAAAATTTTAGCCATTCTTCATTTTATTAATTTTATTGGTTGACATCTTATATCATAAAGAGGTAATATGCAAATTGACCGTCACACCCTCACACAAGATGGCCACCCCCATGGTCAAAAGATGGCCACCACAAGATGGCTGGCAGGGGAGGGCAGTTGGGGGTGATTGGGATGACAGGGGAGCAGTTAGGCATCAATCAGGCTGGCAGGCAGAAGCATTTAGGGGCAATCAGGCAGGTGAGCGGTTGGAAGCCAGCAGTTCCTGGATTGTGAGAGGGAATGTCCAACTGCTGGTTTAGACCCAATCCTGGATTGGAGAAGGTGCAGGCTGGGCTGAGGGACACCCCCCTATGCATGAATTTCGTGCACTGGGCCTCTAGTTGTCTAATAAGATTACATAGGTTTCAAGTATATGTTTCTATAATACATGTTCTGTATATTGTATTATATGCCCACCACTCAAAACCAAATCATCTTTTGTCAACATCTATTTGTCCCCCATTATTGGTTCTAATCCCCACTCCCCTCTCTCTGGTAACTACCATACTGTTGTCTGTGTCTGAGGTTTTGTACTTTTGTATTTCATTTTTGTTCATCTGTTGCTTTAAGTTTTAAATCCCACATATAAGTGAAATCGTATGGTCCTTAACTTTTTCTGTCTGACTTATTTTGTTTAGCATATTTTCAAGGTCCATACATGTTGTGACAAATGGTAGTATTTCATCTTTTCTTATGGCTGAGTAGTATTCCCTTGCATATAAGTACCATATCTTCTTTATGCAATCATCTATCAAAGGACACTTCAGTTTTTTAAAAATATTTTGGCCACTGAAAATAATTCTGCAATGAACATAAGTATGTGTATGTCTTTGGGAAAATGTTTTTAAATTTTTCAAGTTGATACCCAGAGGATGGGTTGCTCGGTCACATGGTAACTCTATTCTTAACTGTTTTAGGAACCTCCATCCATACTCTTTTCCACAGTGGCTATTCCAGGAGCCTAAAACCTATAATGGATAAAAGAAAGCCTCTTTCATAAATGATGCTGGGAAAATTGGAAAGCCATATGGAAACGAACAAAACTAGATTACAGTGTGTCCCCAAATACAAAAATTAAATCAAAATGGATTGAAACCCTGAATATAATATATGAAACAATAAATTCCATAGAAGAAAACATAATTGCTAAACTTATATACCTTGGTCTCAGAGCAGATTTTATGAATTTGACCTAAAAGGCAAGGGAAGAAAGAGATAATTATGTTAAGGGAAATAAGCCAATCAGAGAAAAACAAGTATCACATGATCTTACTTATATATGGAATCTAATGAACAAAATAACTGACAAACAAAATAGGTCCAGAGGCATGGATGCATGGGACAGACTGACAGATCTCAGAAGAGAGGAGTTGTGGGAGGGCAGGAAGAGATAACCAAATAAATTATATACATACATGCATAGCACAAGGACATAGACAATAGCGTGGTGGAGGCCTGGGATGTGGCTGGGGCTGCATGGTGGGGGGCAAAGGTGGGTGGAAATGGGGGATATATGTAATACAGTCAATAATAAAACTAAATTTTAAAAAGGCAAAAATAAATGAGTGGGACTATATCAAACTAAGAAGCTTCTGCACAGCAAAAGAAATTGACAAAAAAAAGCAAACAACTGAGTGGGAGAAGATGTTTGCAAACAACAGATTCAACAAGGGATTAATATCCAAAATATATAAATATTTATATATTTATCTACATCTCAATATCAATATCTACATCTCAATACCAAATGAACAAACACTCCAGTTAAAAATTGACAGAGGAGTTGAACAGACACTTCTCCCAAGAAGATATACAAATGGCCAACAGATATATGAAAAGATGCTCAACTTCACTAGCTATTAGGGACATGCAAATCAAAACTACAGGATTCCTTTCATCACCATTTATCCTCCCTATACCATCCCTCTTCTCCATTAATCACCATTCTGTTGTCTGTGTCTATGATGTTTTTTGTTTTTGCTTATACCTTCATCTATTTCACCTAGTCCCACAACCCAGCTTCCCTCTGATAACTGCAAGTCTGTTCTGAGTCTGTTCCTATTTTGTTAGTTTATTTGCTCCATTAGATTCCACACATCAGAACACACAATATAATATACAAATGATGTATTTTAGAATTGTATACCCAAAACCTATATAATTTTATTAACCAATCTCACCCCAATAAATTCAATAAAATAGAAGAAAACCTACAATGAGATACTGTTGCCGAAGGAATTAATGGGTAAGATTTCTCAGACATGAGTGGGAATAAGGTTCTTGGGGTACTGCTAAAATAAAATTTTTCAAAAGCCCCACAAGAGGATGAGATGTGAACAAAGACTTTATTTGCATGAAGTTACATTTCTCTGGTTCCAAAGTCCACTGGCCCTAAAGCCAGTCCTAGAAAAGGTGCAGTTGAGGTTCCAGCAGATCTAGAAGCAAGGCCAGTGACTAGAGTTTCCATTCCATGTTGCAGTCAGGTGTGGTTCAGCATCCAGGTGTGATTATGGGTAACCACCTTCTCACTTCACTCATACTTTACTGGGCATGCATCTATACTGATTTTATCCAGTCCCTTCCCCCATCGATAATCAGGGAACAAATTTAGAGAATGTTAAATGCATCTTTTTTAGAAAAGCTGTATAAATGGCATGACTTTATGTAGCCTTCCCTTTCCTCCTTTCCTGTTAAATAATAACCAGGATATTACAACAGCATCAATACCACCTTACACCTGTTAGAATGGTGATTATCAACCAGACAAGTAATAACAAGTGTTGAAGATGATGTGGAGGAAAAAGAACCCTCATTCTCTGCTGGTAGAAATGTAAACTGGTATAGCCATTATGGAAAACAGGATGGAGTTGCTTAGCCCTTCTTTTTATTTTTAATCTTTATTTTTGATATTATTACAGATGTCCCTCTTTCCCCCCCCTCATTGTCCCCTTCCACCAGGATCCCACCCTTTTCCAGGCCTTTGACAACCTATTGTCTGTATTCATAGGTAATGCATACATGCATATAAGATCTTTGCCACATCTCTTTCTGCTCCCCCACCCTCCTTTCCTCTGAGAATCATCAGTTTGTTTCATTTCCATACCGCTGATTCTATTTATTCTATTTTATTCACCAGTTTATTCTTCTGTTCATTAGATTTCTTATTAGTTTAGTTTGATTTTTAGATTCAAATGATGATAGGGATGTACTTGTTTCCATTTTGTTGTTCAAATTTTTTATCTTTATATTTTTCTTCTTCTTCCTCTTCCTAAAGAATAGCCTTCAAAATTTCACATAATACTGGTTTGGTGGTAATGAACCCCTTTAGCTTTTTCTTGACTCTGAAGCTCTTTATCTGACAGTCAATTCTAAATGATAGCTTTGCTGGGTAGAGTAATCTTGATTGTAGATCCTTGCTATTCATCACTTTGAATATTTCTTGCCACTCCCTTCTGGCCTGCATAGTTTCTGTTGAGAAATCAGCTGACAGTCATATGGGTATTCACTTGTAGGTAACTAAGTGCTCTTCTCTTGCAGCTTTTAAGATATTCTCTTTGTCTTTAGCCCTTGGCATTTTAATTATGATGTGTCTTGGTGTGGTCCTCTTTGGGTTTCTATTATTTGGTACTCTCTGTGCTTCCTGGACTTGTAAGTCTATTTCTTTTGTTGCAGACGACCAGAGAAAAACGAAGCCATGCTTAGAGAAAGGGAGTTACATTTTATTATTAAACTAGAGGCCCGATGCACAAAAATTTGTGGCATTCAGGGTGCGGGCCCTCAGCATTTCCTGTGCCCTCTCTAAGCTGGCAATCAGACATCCCTCTGGCAGCCCAGGAACCCTCAAAGGATGTCCACTTGCCAGTGGGGAGCAGGCCTAGATGCAGCCGGACATCCTTAGTGCTGCTGAGGAGGCAGGAGAGGTTCCCACCACCACCTCTGTACTGGCAGCCATCAGCCTGACTTGTGGCTGAGCAGAGCTTCACCCATGTGGTAGCATACTGACCACCAGAGGGCAACTCCTGCGCGACGACTGAAAAAGAACATTTTGTGAAAACGAGTATACACGTTTCTGCC